CGCACAGTGCTCAGAAGTCGCCAACTGTCTGCAAAGTTGATAGCTATAGACCTCCAAACTTTGCTTGACCTTCAGATTAGCACAACAGTGTGTAGAAAGCTTCATGGAATGGGTTTCCATGGCTGAGTAGCTGTAAGCCTTACATCACCAAGTGCAATGCAAAGCGCAGGATGCAGTGTTGTAAAGCATGCCGCCACTGGACTCTAGAGCAGTGAGACGTGTTCTCTGGAGTGATGAATCACGCTTCTCTGTTTGGCAATCCAATAGACGTGTCTGGGTTTGGCAGTTGCCAGGAAAACGGTACTTGCCTGACTGCATTGTGCCAAGTGTAAAGTTTGGTGGAGGGGGGATTATGGTGTAGTGTTGTTTTTCAGGGGTTGGGCTTGGCCCCCTAGTTCAAGTAAAGGGAACTCTTAAGGCGTCAGCATGCCAAAACATTTTGGGCAATTTCATGCTCTCAACTTTATGGGAACAGTTTTGGGATGGCCCCTTGCTGTTCCAGCATGACTGTCCACCAGTGCACAAAGCAAGGTCCATAAAGACATGGATGAGCCAGTTTGGGGTGGAGGAACTTGACTGGCCTACACAAGTCCTGACCTCAACCCGATAGAACACCTTTGGGATGAATTAGATCAGAGAACATCCATCCGACATAAGTGGCGGAGCTCACAAATGCACTTTTGGAGGAATGGTAAAACATTCCCATGAACACACTCCTAAACCTTGTGGACAGCCTTCCCAGAAGAGTTGAAGCTGTTATATCTGCAAAGGGTAGGTCAACTCAATATTGAACCCTACGGACTAAGACAGGGATGCCGTTAAAGTTCATGTGCGTGTAAAGGCAGGCGTCCCAATAGTTTTGGCAATATAGTGTATATCAAGATGTAATACTATGAAAGTGCAACGGGGTCATATATCACCACCAATAAAAATATACCCCAGTGTCATAAAAATATATGAGGAAGGGTTGTAACAGCGCAAACACTGCAAAGTCCTGGGAAATGGTAGTATGGGGTGATGGTGGTATTAGTGGCTACTGTATGAAGAGCGTAGGATTCCGTGTGGCACTGAGGGCAAGGCTTCCAAATAAGCTGTAGCAACTTCTGTAGATGAGAAAAAGGAGAGAAGCGCCTCTAAGTGCAATAAGTCTTTTAATTCAAGTCTAAATGTAGAAACACTCACATGTGTGAAGTAATCATAAGCATAAAAACCGTGGTTAACAATAGTTAACGGTGGGGTGGTAACCCAGGTGAAGAGCCGTCATCTTACTGCGAGGTGGGGAGGTCAGCTCTCGGCTGGAACAGCGTGGTGGCTGGAGGGGGAACAGCGGTGAGGCCGGCCTGCATGCACGTCCTCCCTCAGAGCCGGATGGAACGCACGCTGGAACGTAGCGGCGGCGTGGCCGTGATGACGTCAGATCCCAGGGTGCACTGCGACGCGTTTCGGAACATGCACTGGCCGTGGAAGGCGAAAGTGCACTCCTGGTTGAAAAACTATTGTTAACCACGGTTTTTATGCTTATGATTACTTCACACATGTGAGTGTTTCTACATTTAGACTTGAATTAAAAGACTTATTGCACTTAGAGGCGCTTCTCTCCTTTTTATCATAAAAATATATACATGTGTGCAAATATATGCATGCTAGAAATACATAAATCAAACTAATATAGTAAGATCTTAAAAATAATCAAATATATTTAAATAACTGTGTAAGGTGTCCCTATTTGAAACGATTATCCTTCCACTGATCAATCGATTTTCTGTGCTCGAACTTGACCAGTGCTTATTCACCACAGAAATGGTGTATATCATTTCACCGATATACATATGTACTCTCACCTCCAGTATTTGACCCACAATTATTTTAGGTCAAATTGTGCTTTTTCCCTTTGACCAGGGTAGGTTTAACCTCAAGCACTCTTCAGCACAGGATTCCCAGTGGAACTCAATCCATCTTCATCCTCTGAAGTCATGAAGAATATTTTCCTCCAAAGTGCAGAAAGAATAGGCCATCATGGCATATTAATGTTTCCCACCAATATTTATTAAAACAATGTATTACAATCACATTAAAATGTGCTCATCTGGAGCACCACAGAAAAAAAGGTTCCTTTTCCCTTGAAAAATGCAATTCCTCAGTCACTTACAAGATAACGGTTTGCAAACTTCTGGGTGTGCGGCTTGACATCATTGGTCCTGCCATGACATTAGATCACCAACCACGTGACTTCATGAGGGGCTCTGTTACCAGGACCAACAGTGAATTTCCCCAGTGGGGATACAAACACCAAGAAAAACCAGTCAGATAAACCTTTCCTACTCAGTCCAAAACAAGTCCTGGCTATATATACACTTTAAGCATAGATATGTAAATCAATGAAAAGCATACATTTAGTGCATTTATCCTTTTCTATATCCCTTCCTCTTCAGCACTTTCAGTCTATAGCATACTTCTCTACATTTTTGTCTGGAGATCTTTCATTGTACAACCTGCCCAGCACTGCACAATTCATGGTTATTACTAGTTCTCAGGCAGTGAACTGCTTGTTACTAACTAGAAGTCAGCATGCACCCCTATCCAAAAATTATGTAAGGATTTTTAGACAAAACCTGCAGTCTGGGCCGCTGATAAGGAGGTACCACTGGGCCTCCTGTAGGGAGCCTGGGATCCATCAATAAAAAGGGGTCCCGACCAGTACATGTTCCATATACAGGGGCGGATTGACCATTCGGTCCGGGGACCCCATGAGAGGCTGTAACTCTGCCCATTGCGGGGCACTGTTCATACTCCATCAGATGTTCCTGCAGAGTGGCCTCTGCTCACAGTGCTCTTCTCAGCAGTCCAATTTCCTAGAGAGCCATGCATTACAAGCCCCACCCCTCCACTCAACAGGATTACTGACCCGCTTTTCCGCTCACCGGAATCACTGCCCCACCCCCCTCCGCTCACTGGAATCACTTCCCCGCCCCTTCGCTCACCAGAATCACTGTCAGGGCTCCGGGGTGTGACCAGAGGTATGTGACTGACGCAGGGAAATGCAGGCTTCAGATAAGTTATAAACAATATAATTTATTAAAGACTAACAATACAAACATAAATGCAGTGCAATACTAAAACATAACACAGTGCAAACAAACCAAACCACCCACAGATAACAGTACATACAATGCAAGCGTCGTCAGGCAGGCCCGGGTCAATAACAATCGGGCAGGTAGGTACAGGGGGTCAGGCAGAGAATGGTCGGGGTCACAAGCCAGGGATAAAATAGGAGAAGTCAGCAGAGGTCCGGATCAGCCAGGGTCAGCAACGAATGAGACAGAGACAGGAACAGGGATGCAGGAACAAGATACAGGGCCCAGGAAAAACACACACCAAGGCAGAGACTGCAGGTCTGGCCATCCCTTAAATACACCTGCATAATCAACTGCAGGTGTTTGGCTGGCTGCAGGGTTGAGTCTCTGATTGCTGGGAGCACCCGCTGGCCAGCCCTGGTACTGCAGCCCACACGGCAGATGAGTCCCACCATTACTGGCAAGTCCATTCCTGACAGTATCCCCCCTCAAGGAGCGGCCTCAGGACGCTCCAAACAGTCCTAGCTGGGCAAAATGTTCCACCGCCCGGGTCTGGTAACTGGCGGGATATCAAAGACTGGCACATCGGGCAGGACTCCGGGCAGCGGCACTCCGGGCAGAGGCACACCGGGCTGGACTCCGGGCAGAGGCACACCGGGCAGGACTCCGGGCAGAGGCACACCGGGCTGGACTCCGGGCAGAGGCACACCGGGCTGGACTCCGGGCAGAGGCACACCGGGCTGGACTCCGGGCAGAGGCACACCGGGCAGGACTCCGGGCAGAGGCACACCGGGCTGGACTCCGGGCAGAGGCACACCGGGCAGGACTCCGGGCAGAGGCACACCGGGCAGGACTCCGGGCAGAGGCACACCGGGCAGGACTCCGGGCAGAGGCACACCGGGCAGGACTCCGGGCAGAGGCACACCGGGCAGGACTCCGGGCAGAGGCACATCGGGCAGGACTCCGGGCAGAGGCACACGGGCAGGACTCCGGGCAGAGGCACATCGGGCAGGACTCCGGGCAGAGGCACATCGGGCAGGACACCGGGCCACCAGGCAGAGCAGCAGGCACCGGGCCACCAGGCGGAGCAGCAGGCACCGGGCCACCAGGCGGAGCAGCAGGCACCGGGCCCCCAGGAGGGGCAACAGGCATCAGGTCCCCAGGAGGGGCGACGGGCATCGGGCCCCCAGGAGGGGTGACGGGCATCGGGCCCCCAGGAGGGGCGACAGGCATCGGGGCGACAGGCTTCGGGCCCCCAGGCATCAGGTCATTTGGCTCGCCAGCGGGCAGCGCGTCATCTGGCAAGGCAGTGGGCACCGAGTCACCAGGCACGACAGTGGGTTCCGAGTCAACTGGCATGACCACGGGCACTGGGTCAGACATTGGATCGTCTGGCTCGACAGCGGGCATCGGGTCACCAGGCATCAGGTCATTTGGCTCAACAGCGGGCACCGCGTCATCTGGCAAGGCAGTGGGCACCGAGTCACCAGGCACGACAGTGGGCTCTGAGTCAATTGGCACGACAGCGGGCACCGGGTAATTAGGTACCGGATCGTCTGGATCGACAGCGGGCACCGGTCATCTGGCGTTGGATCGTCTGGCTCGACAGCGGGCATCGGGTCACCAGGCATGACAGCGGGCACTGGGTCACCAGACATCAGGTCATTTGGCTTGCCAGCGGGCACCACGTCATCTGGCAAGGCAGTGGGCACCGAGTCACCAGGCACGACAGTGGGCTCCGAGTCAACTGGCATGACCGCGGGCACTGGGTCAGACATTGGATCGTCTGGCCCGACAGCGGGCATCGGGTCACCAGGCATGACAGCGGGCACTGGGTCATCAGGCATGGGATTGTCTGGCACGACAGCGGGCATCGGGTCACCAGGTATGACAGCGGGCACTGGGTCACCAGGCATCAGGTCATTTGGCTCGCCAGCGGGCACCGCGTCATCTGGCAAGGCAGTGGGCACTGAGTCACCAGGCACGACAGTGGGCTCTGAGTCAACTGGCATGACCGCGGGCACTGGGTCAGACATTGGATCGTCTGGCCCGACAGCGGGCATCGGGTCACCAGGCATTGGATCGTCTGGCTCGACAGCGGGCATCGGGTCACCAGGTATGACAGTGGGCTCCGAGTCACCAGGCATGACCGCGGGCACTGGGTCAGACATTGGATCGTCTGGCTCGACAGCGGGCATCGGGTCACCAGGCATGACAGTGGGCACCGGGTCATCAGGTACCGGATCGTCTGGCTCGACAGCGGGCACTGGGTCATCATGCGTGATAGGATCATCAGGCTGGATCAGTTCATCAGGCTGGGTACAGGCATCAGGCTGGGTACAGGCATCAGGCTGGGTACAGGCATCAGGCTGAAGTGCGGGTGCCGAGGCACCAGGCTGAACCACGGAAGGCAGGTTCTCAGACGGCAGGCTCACCGGTTTGGATACTGGCAGGATGGTACTGGTTGGAAAGAATTTCCGCTTTTTTCCGGTTTTAACTACTGGGGCACTGCAAGTAAACGCAGGTCTGCAAACGAATGGAGCAGCTGAGAACAGAGAAGAGCTGGAAGATGGAACAGAGGAGGGAGCAGTTGCTACAGAGGACTTCTTTACAGGGTTAAAGAAAGGATAGGTGCAGCGAGTGGGAGAAGAGGACTGTATGTGGTAGTGTCAGGAATCAAGGAGTGACCAGAAAGGTGTGGACTGACACAGGGAAACGCAGGTTTCAGGTATAGTATAATACAGGTTATTATTAGCCACCCAGATATATATATATATAAACGCACAGTGAGCAAACTAACCTTCCACTAATCTTAGGAGGTGCAGGAACACAGGCGTAGTCAGGGCTGGAGAGGTGGAATGGTCAGGCCGGCCGTAGGGTTCTGTAACGACTGCCTGGTGGTACCTCTAGCGGTCCTCAGGGCAGGATTCCCCAGGGCGCGGAGTCTAAGTCCCAGTCTGCTATTCACCAGGGCCCCTGATGGTGGGGATGGAGCAGACAGGAACCAGGTCGCGGCCCCTGAGTACACCTGCTAGTGATAGAGGGATCCGCCAGAGGTATGTGCAGGTACGGCTGGATCCGTGCAGGATGGATGGATGGCAGAGTAGTGAGCGTGGTCAGACGGGCCAAGTCAGCAACGTGCGGGCAGCAAGGTATCAAGGAGAGCAGGCAGAGAATGGTCAAGGTCACAAGCCGGGTTCAGTAACTCATGGACAGCGCAGTACAGAGGATCAGGCAGAAGGATGGTCAGGGATGAGCCAGTAGTCAGAACAGGAGACGGTCAACAGGAATCAGGATCAGGCAGGGTCGGCAACAAGGTATCTTTCTCACAGGAACTAGGAACAGGATACAGGGGCTCATGGGAAAACATACACCAAGGCCCAGAGCACAGGCCTGGTCATGCCTTATATACACCTTTCTGTAATCAGCCCCAGGTTTGGCTGATTGTGAGCTTCTGGCTGCTAAGAGCACCCGCTGGTCAGCTCTGGTACTGCAGCCCACACGGCAGGAGAGTCCCACCACCAGTGCTGAGAGCACCCGCTGGTCAGCTCTGGTACTGCAGCCCACACGGCAGGAGAGTCCCACCACCAGTGTGCTGAGAGCACCCGCTGGTCAGCTCTGGTACTGCAGCCCACACGGCAGGAGAGTCCCACCACCAGTGCTGAATCCATTCCTGACAGGTAGTTAGAGTATACTGGGCAGTCACTGAGGGTGCTGTCGGGGATGCAGGAAGAATGCCGTGAGTGGAGGAATGATGTTGTAAGCTGACTGAGGCTTGGGTGCAACAAGTCTGACCATGTCTGCAGTATGGGTTGAACAAAGCTCAGTTTACACAAAGCCTGTCTGACCAAAGACTGCACTGCGTTTATACAATCTCTTAGTACCTGTGGTGAACATGCAGAATAATGCTCCAGAAAGTAATCCACATCATCCTCTAATAACCATACCAGGGACTCTACCTGGTCGGCACTAAATGGCCGCAAAAATTCATCCCTGCATTCGGGGGTACCAGATGAAACCAACTCAGCACAAACCTGAATCAATGGCTGCACCTCAGAGAACTCTGTGCCCTGATCTACTAGGCAATGAGCGATCCGTATACATTCTAGCAGTTCATCCCGGGGATACTCCTTCAGAGTTTGATAAGCATACTCTGTCATCAAACACTAACAGAGGTAAATACACAACCTCATTAAGATCCATCCTTCCCAGCAACAAGCCAAGATGGCTTCCCTGTGCAGCCACTTCTGGTCAGGATTGGCCTTGGTGTAATGTCAGGGCTCCGGGGTGTGACCAAAGGTATGTGACTGACGCAGGGAAACGCAGGCTTCAGATAAGTTATAAACAATATAATTTATTAAAGACTAACAATACAAACATAAACGCAGTGCAATACTAAAACATAACACAGTGCAAACAAACCAAACCACCCACAGATAACAGTACATACAATGCAAGCGTCGTCAGGCAGGCCGGGTCAATAACAATCGGGCAGGTAGGTGCAGGGGGTCAGGCAGAGAATGGTCGGGGTCACAAGCCAGGGATAAAACAGAGAGAAGTCAGCAGAGGTCCGGATCAGGCAGGGTCAGCAACGAATGAGACAGAGACAGGAACAGGGATGCAGGAACAAGATACAGGGCCCAGGAAAACCACACACCAAGGCAGAGACTGCAGGTCTGGCCATCCCTTAAATACACCTGCATAATCAACTGCAGGTGTTTGGCTGGCTGCAGGGTTGAGTCTCTGATTGCTGGGAGCACCCGCTGGCCAGCCCTGGTACTGCAGCCCACACGGCAGATGAGTCCCACCATTACTGGCAAGTCCATTCCTGATAATCACTGCCCCGACTCTGCAGCCCTGATCTCCCATTCATTCTGCTGCGTACCTGGCTGGGAAGATCCAGAGATGATCCTGTGGGTGGATGGAGGATGATCTTCTCCCACTCCTGTAATAGGGGCTATGGAGGCGGCAGATTTAAATATATAGGCCTGGGGCCAGAATTGTGAGTAGCAGACATTCTAACCCAATTCTCTCACCCCCCTCTCTCTCCCTCCCTCTCTCTCCCTCTCCCCCCTCTCTCTCCCCCCTCCCCTTCCCTCTCTCTCTCTCTCCCTCCCTCTCCCCCTCCTTCCCTCCCCCTCTCCCTCTCTCTCTCACCCCCCATCCTTTCTCCCTCCCTCTCACCCTCTCTCTCTTCCTCACTCTCTCCCTCCCTCCCTCTCTCTCACCTTCCCTCCCTCACTCTCAGCCTCCCTCCCTCTCTCTCATCCCCTTCTTTCACCCCCTCTCTCTCATCCCTCTCTCACCCTCCCTCTTTCACCCCTTTCTCTCTCTTTCACCCTCCTTCTCTCTCACCCCCCTCTTTATCACCTCAACCCCCCTATCTGTCTCCCACCTCTTCTTTCACCCTCCCTCTCTTTCTAACCCTCCCTCTCTCACCCCCTCTCTTTATAAACCTCTCTCTCTTATACCCCCCTCTTTCATCCTCCCTCTCACCCCCCCTCTCCCTCTCTCCCTCCCTCTCTCTCTCTCTCCCCTCTTTCACCCCCTCTCTCTCTCTTACCCCCTCTCACACCCCATTTCTCTCACCCCCTCTATGCTCACCCCCTTCTTTCACCCCTAAACCCCCCTCTCTCTTACCCCCCTCTCTCTCTCACTCTCTCACCCATCTCTTTCACCTCCCCCTCTTCCCCCACTCTCTCTCTCACCACCCCCCTCTTTCTCTCACCCCCCTTTCCCCCCCCTCCCTCTCTCCCCCCCCCCCTTTCTCCCTACCTCTCTCACACCCCCCCCCTTCCCCCTCCTCTCTCCCATCTCTCCCCCTCTTTCTCTAACACCTCTCTTACTCTTATCTCTTCCTCTTACCCTCTCTCACCTCCCCCCTTTCTCATCTCCCTCCCCCACCTCTTTCCCACCTCAGAGTGTGGGGTCAGGGGCAGGGTTTGGGGGCCCCATCAGGTAGGCTGTACAGGGCCCCATGATTTCTAACAGCAGCCCTGCCTGCAGTTGCATACTTAAAGCACAACTCAAATCCTTTTTTTTTAGATGTTTTGAGGAAGAATTAAAATCCCTGTCACTGTAGTTAGGAATGTGTCCCCAGTAGACAGATTCCCCCTCACTCCCAATAAGTAAGAAGAGACTACAGCAACTCACAAAGCAATCTAAACCTGCTTGTGTCCAGAGGCTGACCTCCTGTGTTCATAATGCAGCAGGGCAGCAACTCAGCATGGGACCATGAAGCTATTGGAGATCACTGGACTAGTGGTGTCTACTACAATGATGTCCAGCCTCTAGAATATTCCACAGATATGATATATGCTTAGGCACATTGACCCAAGTCGAATCAATGTAACTTTGTACAAAATGCCATGCCTGGAATTATTCTTTAAAGCCAACCAAACAATTTACACTTGAGATGGACTTAATTGGCTTTTGTATCTTGAAAGACCTTAAATTATTTTATACTCTGCTGTTATTTATTGTAGTTGAGCTAATCCTACTGTATATTAGCTGCCGTTTCAGGCTTGGAAACTGAGCATGGGTCGGCTGTAGTCTCCCTTTTTGGATTACTGGAAAGAACTTAAGCTGTACGTACGAAAATGCTGTTTCTTCTTAATAAATTTATCTTGCAATTTAAAATGTAATTAATCTTATATATTCAAGTATTACATTTTTTGCTTTGGAATCTCCATGAATGCAGTGTGATTATGGCACAGCTTGCTGTAGCTGGAGACATTTTAACTTTGTGGTTTACCTTCCTGCAAAGGCAAAGGAGCAAATACAAGGGGTTAACTAATGATAATTGTGTTTTGAGGCTAATAATTCTAATGAATGCAAAATAAGCATGTTTTAATTGAATTTGTGCCACTGCTAGCGCTATATTTTTTTTCGGATGTGTGGATGGGATTTAGCTGACGTAAACAAAATGGCTACTAAACAGGATGAAGTCTCCAGAGACTTCTCCTGTGACATGTTTACACAATAAAGAGTGAGCACTCTGTGCTCCCTGTTTTTTCTTTTCTTTTTATATTGATGAGGAAAATCCTTGAAATGCCTTTGTGGTTTTTAAAGTTTCTCCTTTCTGCCCAATTGAAGTACAATTATCAACATTTACAGAAAACTAGAAATGTAGAAAATGTAAAACAAATAAACAAATCTAAACTGTTCATTCATGACATACCTAATAAACGCAAGGGGGGGATTTACTAAAACTGGAGCAGACAGAATTTGGGGCAGCTGTGCATAGTACCCAATCAACTTTATCTGTAGCTTGTTCAGTTAAACTTTGAAAATAAAAGCTAGAAGCTAATTGGTTGCCATGCACTGTTACTCTAGATTCTGTATGTTCCAGTTTTCATAATTTCCCCTCAATTTGTACTATGAAGAAAGAAATTTAG